GTTCATTTGAATCCAATAATCAACACAGTTTATGAGTTATTATGACTGTCATAATCGCTTAATAAAATGAGGTACCAATTTTTGCCATCTCGTCGAAACAAGAATTACACTAATTAAATTGTCAACGCTACATACCAGTTTCTAATGGTTGGCAAATGTTATTCTAGGGTTCAATCGCAACATTTCCAATTGTAAATCAATGTGAGGTTCTTCTTTGTTGTTAGCGCCTATTTCTGTATGTTCCAAATTTTTAAAACAAATTTGTGGTGTACTGTTTTAAATTGTGCAAAAAATAACTACAACTACCAATTTTTGTAACAGAACGGCTTTTTTTCTTTATTCAGTACATAATAATTTAATTAATAAAATATATAAACAATATATTATTACTAAAAGATCCTGTATGAGTTGTACAGTTCTTTGAGGACCATTTTTTCTTTTCTTTTTATTAAGTATTATCTATAATTTAAAGTTCATAGTTACTGAGACTTTTTACTTTTTTAAGGGACAAGCCGATATTTGAAAGAACTAGAAGAAAAAATAGAGTAGAGCTAGTAATTTCTATCTATTTGACAAAATTGAAATATCGATATTTGAAAATTGTAACGTTTATTTTTATAAACACTGTATATTAAAATTTTATTTAATTGTTACAATAAGTACCTCTGTTTATTTCTCTATAAAATATTGCAACACAGGTCTTTAACGTTATTACCATTTTTTTTGTGAAACCTTGCTTAGCTAAAAAATTAAAAACAGTGGAAATAACGAGGCAGAGTTTCAAAAATAAACTATAGTTATAAAGCCTACGAAGAAGCTAACAAGAATATGGTTATAGGATTATTTACCGAGTAGTTCCTCGCCTAAAAAATTTAAAACGCAACCAACAATACAGTTGCGGCTCCCCAAAAGTACACGATTTTTCGTTGTCAATGTCATGGAATTTTTTGAATTTTTAAATTAATGCATGACCGACTAGTATAAAGATTATGGCCTGTCCAAAGGACTGCCAAAGGTACCATACGTGCTGCCATCTATTAATAATTCAAAAACGACAAAAGAATTATTAACACTGTTTGAAAGGCACAAAGGCATTCATACCGAAACAAACCACCATTACACGTTTTGAAGTCCCATAATGTCAAGTCAAATTAAAATTTTGCTAAATTATTAAGTGTAATTATTAATAGATGGCAACACGTATCGTACCTCTTGGACAGGCCATAATCTTTATACTAGTCGGCCATGATTAATGTAAGTCTGGCTATTGCCAGTGGCGCAGCATTTTTGAACAAAGAAAATGTCAAATTTGACAAATTTTGTTATTCGAGCGCGCATGATTTGAAGATACATTTACAGTAGCGAAAATTATCGTGCACTTTTGGGGGGCCGCAACTGTAGATACATACAATTACATGGCAGACTTTGATATTTACAAACATTATTTTTTTAAGTAAAACATAGTTGGCGGTTTGGTTTCGATAATTTCGAAATAAACGTCAATCGTTAGGTTAAAATTAGAAACCGACAAATTCAAAACAACTTTAGTCTCCGATTTTTAATTCCCGAGCGTAAGCAAAGGAAGTATTTTAATCGAGGTCGTCGTTTGCATTTTCTGTACCTTTCATGACCCGTAGAAGACGAAGAAATAGGTCTGCCATTTCCGTCTGTCTGCCGTCCCGGATTTTTATTAGACAGATAATCTCCGAAAGTACTGGGCCAATTGTTGTCAAATTTTGTATTTATATTAGGAATATCATGTAGATGGTAGGTAAAACGCTAACCAAAATTTGTCTAATCATCCTCACCACTAATGTGATGACGTCACTTCAAAATTGTACATAGTAAATGAGTTTTAAAATTTATAAAATAACATAGTCCTACACATGTAGTTTATGACTCCGAATTGAATTTTTACCAGAAACGTCCAGATTTTTGGAAAAAAAATCAAAATTTTGAAACAACATTTTGCAATTTCATTTGGAATCTGCAAAACCGAATACTTTGAAATCTTGGAGATGTGCATGGTAAATTTTTGTTCAAAATGTATTTGCTCATCCCCCCTAAAAATTGATGACGTCACCTCAAAATTTTGCTGAATAAATCCTATTTTAAATGTGCAAAGTATGATGAGTCTATACTTGTGATTTATCACTGCGTTAATATTTTTTTGATTTACTTATACAGGGTGTTCTAAAAAATTAATGACTGAGTCAATTTATTTAATTTTTCAAAGAAACGGGATTTGTGGCACTGTACTTACGAGGCGAGGGAAGTCCTGTGGAAATAACTTTCGACCAATTTTTTTATATCTCTAATAATAATTCATGAGATATCGAGGACCGCGACCTTAGTGACTTAGATTTAGTGACCCCGTATTGAAGCAATTTTTTTTTGTTTCAAATATGATGAGATTTATTTCCCAAAATTTTGAGATGACTTCTTCACGTTTTGAAAACGGTTAATACGATAATGTTAAATAAAGCGTATGCAAAATTTCAGCACAATCGATGTAGTTTCTAAAAAGATACTTAATATTTTTTTTTTTAGATAATATGGACGAATTAATAAACTAAAAGTATGTGAATATAGTACTTTGAGATGACGTCATCAATTTTGGTGAATATGGAGAAGAAAATTTTGATGACCGTTTTACTATCCATATTCTTAAAACAAATTTAGAATTTCACAACAATCTGTCCAGGAGCTTACTAGTTAGTTTAATAAAATCAGCAACATCCGACACGTAGAAGCAAATGAGAGACCTACGTTTTCACATTACAAAAGCTATTAGATGTAGAAAAAAATATGAAATTAGCCATTCGTCAAATAGACCCGGAATACGAAATTACATTTCCTAGCTTATACGCTAGAGAAATAAAAAAGATAATGAAAGAACGTAATTTTTATAGCATGTAACTTCAAAAACGTATGAAAATATGACATTGAACATTTTTTAAATATTAAGCCTTAAGAAATTAAATTTTCAATCAGTCAACTCCTAAAGCAATTTCGCCCGATTTATAACCCACCAAACACTTGGTATTAAAAGAATATCTTAACTTACACGTTTGTAAAAAATTCTTGTCCTGAGAAAAAGACTACGTATATTAAGAAGAGAGGGCGGGGGAATTTAATTGCAAAATCCATATTTCTTTACAAAATTTTACTTTTTTGCAACCAAGTTCCGCTTTCCGCTCACGATGAATAAAAAAATCATCACAATTGAGAGAGGGTGGATGGGCGAGGCTTATATTTCGTACTTTTTTTTAATATCCCACTTCTTCTTGTCCCAACAAGAAACTGAAAACATATTTAACTATAGTGTAAGAAGGAAGGGCAAAATATAAGCCCCACCCACCCACCCTATCTCAGTTGTAATGATCTATTTCATTCGTTGTCAGACCGATGGGCGGAGCGTAACTGCAAAATATATATTTCCCTACAAAAATTTTGAACATGTTTTACGTTTCTTGTTGTGAAAAGAATACTACGTATATTAAGAAGAAAGGGCAAAATATAAAGACTACCGTGTTTAAAGCCACAAAAAGAAATCGATTGGTTTAAGGCCCAGAGTTCTTGCCGGCCACCGAATTATGTGTGTATTTTGACTATGACTGCCTTAACTTTCTGAAAATTTATTTAAAACAAGGGGGTAGGCATATGTTTGACAGGTGTCACAAACGCGAAAGGTCTTAGGATTTGGGAGAACAATATAAACGACGGCAAATAGATCACAGTAAGGAAACAAAATTGATAATTATAATTAATAATCCTTGCAAAGAAGTGTGAATTTTCAAATCATATTTAAAATCGTTATTTGGTGTTTATTGTCGTCTTTTTAAAATTTTAGTGAAATTTTCCATTAACTATGCATCTTTAAAAATCAATATCTCAATAACTATGAGATACAATTTGATTTTATTATATCACATTTCCAGAAAAAAAGTCGACAATGTTTTGGTGCGATTTAGAATTTTGTAAACTAAACACAGTGGTGAAAACCGCGTTCCGAAATGTCTATAAATAATTGAAAAATTTCATCAAATTAAAAAAAAAGGTGATGATATCCTTAAAAAAACTGCTCTTGCGCTATACAGAGTAAGTGGACGATTATATTTGAAATTTCATAACAATAAGCATGTTAATCATATTGACGGTAAGCTGACAAGACAAAAATTCCATCAAAGATAAATCGTCAAAAATTAATGGCTGCTTTTGATCGCTTTTTTATTCCTCCTTCTATATTATTTGTAATTGATAAGTATCTAATAAAATCGTAAATCATGGGTTGCACTCATGCATTTAATTCAATTCAATTCTACAAAATGTACTTAAACTCTTACCGTTAGTCATTACAATAAACATGATTTTGCGTCCAATTAAATTTAAGTTGTTTTTTGTTTGCCTCTGACGTTAGCATAAAAAATGAAAATTTAATATCGTTAAAAACTGGTGATGTAAAAACCCTTAACAAAGGTAAATTAATTTTCTTAATTGTGCTTGTTCGTTCGTTCGCTTACAGTGTGTTGAAGATTTGAGTTACGATGTCCCAGTTTTTATGAATTTTATACGTTATTCAATGTTAGTTCTTATATATTTTTTATAATAATCAAACATACTAAAATCATTTTTATAAAATACCTTGTTGTAGTTTAGTAAAAAAAAATTGTGTTGTGACCGCAAAAATTGTTTTCTTTAAAGTGGGTGGGCCAAATGTTTTAAATGCTCTACATAGACCAAAACAAAATTAAATATGTTATTCGATGAACTACTGCAACAAGTATGGTGTTGAAAAAAGTACATCTATTACGAAAAAAATATAACCACAGAAAATTTCATTATTCTTTAATAATAACAGTCAAATTTAATTAACTACTAAAAATTCCAAGCACGGACTCTCATTGTGTCGCCTACATTTTTACATCCATAGCCAGTGACTCACAACAATTTCCTTATTCACATTCCTAATCAATTTCAAAATAAAAAATCACACTCACCTTATGGTGTAAATCATGCACGTCTTCTTCTAAGGAAGCATCAGAGTACATGTCATCGGCAGTGTCGCAAGTGCTGCTCCTTCCTGACGAATTGAAACTGGAGCTGCGGTATAATTGACTGTAATCACTTCATGTATCAACAAAGCAAAAGTACGTTTAAAAAAAATACGCGCAAAAAATTAGACTTATCAAACTCACCTCGCTAAGGCATTCGATCCGAGCTGTCTCTTCCCATTGCTGAAACAAACACATCATAGGTGAGCAAAATGAGACTGACTGTCGTGCGGACGAGAAAGACTATGACACTCTCATGCAAGCTCATAACGTAATCCAAACTTACATTTCCTTAAAAGTTTCGCAAAGCAGGGTTGCCAAATTGGCGCAAAATGTCAAAGTCCTGTGTAGGACGGGTGGTGATCTTTGTGGAACAAGAGGTGACTTAAGTTGAGTGGCGTCACGTAATTAGAGTACAGATATCAGATAACAGTTCATTAGTACTGTTAATGTAGTATTTTTCCTACAATTTAATTTTTAAATGATTTCAAATTTGGCGATTTTTTCAGAAACATTTAGCACCATGGCAACGCTGCATTAGCATGGGATACTTGAGACTCAGTCGCATACCATAAAAGTTACCTCTGACACGCCTACCACCGAGAAAAAGGTAAATCATGCAAAGCGGTACAAGTATGCGTCACTCTCGGGTTGTTTAATTTATGACAGTGAAACTGACCTAGCTCTCCCTAAAATCTGAGAAGTCGATATCGTGTCGTTAGTGGAATTACAGACCTACTCAGTCTCGTTTGCACGTAAGAAACGTCTATTTGAGAAAATAAATAAATTAAAAATATTGGAGCAAAAAAACATTAGCAAACATCCTGTGCCAGAAATAGCAGCACTCAAAATAATTAGTTATGAAGTAGAGGGTGTGCTTGGTAAATTCAGAGAATCGGCATGTACGATCCAGATTATGTAATATGCAAATAGTTGCGTTTATTACGCTAAATATAACACGAAATTTTCGCTTTTAATTATATGCATATATTCGTCATATAACAGTATAATTTGCAATTTATTTTAATCAGAGATTGAATACCTAAGCGAGAATGTGATGCATTTATTTATGTCACTATAAATATTCATTTTTTTTTTTTTTTCTAAAAACACAATAAATTCCTAACCGCCAGATTTGTGTCTTTTAGTAAAATACTACAATGAAAGGCAACCGTAGGTTTGAGATTGAGAAATTTGGTGTTGAATGACTTGAGAAACGGAGCATTCCAGAAAAATGCAATGCTTTCAACAATATTTGAGATCAAAAAGAGTCAAGACTGTGCATTTGGATAGAAAAAAAAGCTGCACTAAATAGTACTTGCTATGTTAGAGCTGTTGTAATTCAATTGAAATTGTTTCTTGAGTTTCAGTCATTGCACAGAACTTATGCTAAAATCCCGTTAAGCGTAACACTGGTGGCATAAGTGGGATTTCACTAATTAAGTGGTCAGAACGAAGACGTGAAATTAGGAAAAAACGGATTAGTGAGATCGTATATTATGGAAGTTTGAAGAACAATGGAGACAAGAAGAAATTACAGAAGAATTGCAGTTTAACTGAAGAATATTGACTTCTGTCTGGAACTGAAACTGAAGAAGGAAGATATATGGAGTTTCTTAAACATTTTAAAATATCCAAACGAGAAGGTGTAAGGCTGAAGATAGAAGAATCGAAAAGAAATTTCAACAATGAGTAGATTCAAAATTTATTATTCCATTCACGATTTTTCTGAATTTAATTTTTAAATGTTGGATAAACTATTTTAAAGACCTAACGTGGAGTCTTTGCTGCTGTTGTTGTCGTGCGTTTTGGGCCGCTTTGCCTTACTTCTCCAAATACTGTAGTAATTTAGCGCTGAATTTAGGAAAATCAATTTTTTGTGGGTAAAAAATTGCACTCAAAAATTGTTTTGTGCCATTTTAAAAGGACGGGTCAGACTTTACAAGTGAGGATATTGTCTGTAGCGTACGTTTTCGTTTATCTGTGTGTCTACCGTCTGTCCGAATTTTTATGGGACATATAATCTCCGAAACTACTCGACCGATTGTTGTAAAATTTTATATGTACATATATGTATTAGGAATATCATGCGGATGGTAAAACGCTAACTAAAATTTGGCAATCATCCTCACCAACACTAGGAGATAACGCCATCTCCAAAATTTACATTAGTAAATATTATTTAAATTTTATAAAATAAGATATTCCTGCACATGTTTTTTTTTTGGGTATGCATGTTGAGTTTTTACCCTAGACATCAAGATTTTTGGGAAAAAAGAAACAAAATTGTGTAACATTTTATAAATTAATTTTGAAATTACAGAACCGAATGCTCTGAAAACTTGCAAGCGTTTTAAGGTTAACGTAAGCAGGTAAATCGTAATAAAAATTTTGTTTATGTCCCCCTAAAAAATTATGACGTCATTTCATAATTTTGCCAAATAAATGAACCTTAAAATTTATAAAATCACATACTCTTCCATGTATGGTTTAAGAATCCGTGTTGAGTTTTTACCCTGTTTTTACCGAATGCTCTGAAATCATCGGAAGAATGGTAAATTTTTAAACAAAATTTGTCCGCCATCTTACAAATCTGTTGAATATTTTGGGAAAAAACCGTGAGTAGTTAAATAACTAATCAGTCCTCCCCTGCATTGGGGAAATAAAATCAATTTCTTAACTGCTGATGCTTGTAGTTTGAAGGTGCTAATAAATTCTTTCGAAGTATAAACATAAACAGTCGAAGTTAAACTTGTACTGAGAAATTGAGAATATCCACATTTTCGGCCGAAATGACCTTCGACCAATTTTTATTATTTCCTTAGGAGAATCTAAATCAGAATCAGATGAATGACGGTGACCTAGATAATGAATTGATATTCTTGTTAGATTTAAAATTAAATATTTCGTTATTATTGCATTCAAATATAAAATTACCGATTTTCAAAGTGTACTGAAACATTAAGCTCGGCCAGTAAGTTTATTTTCCTTTGTTGAAAATTTTTGAAGTTCAAAAAAATATGTTGAAAGAACATATTTGGAAGATCTACATCATGCAATTAAATTCATAACGTTTGAAGCTCCAGATTCAAGGTGAAATTATTAAATAAAAAAAAAAAATTTGTTTTGTTTATTAAGGTTGTCGGGGTCTGGATATGTTGTACCTTAGTTAATACTAAATTACTTATGATCTTAAACAGAGTAATAAAACATCAAATCAATTAGCAAAGGATAAAAGTTCATTAATAGCGAATTTTATGGTACCATCCGATTTGTCGCATCGAATGATTCAATTCATAACTCATTTTTAAAGCTGTTTTTAAACTAAAAAAAGGTGTCAAATTTAAATAGTCGACCCTTGTCCAGATAGATCGTGAATAGCTAATATAGCTTTTGTTGAAGACTCAGTTAGTCGACGACCAATTGAAAAAGTTCTAGAACATAAAAAACATAATGTATAGCGGTTCCAGCGTCAAATAAAGGAACACTGAGAAAACGGGTGGAAACTCCAGAGTTGAGAAAGTTCTGGTGATGGACGGACCGAGAAACGGAAACATTCTCAAAAAGGGTAAGGGTTTAAATGGAGTCTAGTAATAAGAAGAAGTGGATCAGGATAATAGAAGAGAGTCGAAGATGTTATTTAAGACCTGTTGCTAATAGAGCTGTGTTTTAAATAAACGTCAATTTTCGAAACGCATATTTCAGGTCTTAAACATAATATATTCTGATCTAATGACTGAAATTTTAAACCTTTACATTCTGTATTTCTTATATTTGTGGAATCTGTCAAATTAATATTGATTTTTAGATCTTGCTCTGTTATCGAAGAATTAGTGACCAGATTATGTTTGGACCACAGTAAAAAAAAACATGCTTGTGTGTATTTTGTAAGTACAGCGTGATCAACAAAAAATGACGTCAAGTAGTTGCTCGATGCTTGAATGTATTTTGAATCGTACGTCGGAACTATCTTATTGTGTAGTATATGAAATCAAATTATAAAAATAAGAAATTGAATAGGTGTTATTCAGTAGAATAGTTCAACCTGAATACACGACACTTTATTACCAACCATAAATACAAAATGATTTTCAATCAATATGTTTATACTTCTTTCATTCCGCCAGACCTTTGAACTCCCTGTGCCATTGCTGTTATTAGTTTTCTACCGATTCATTTATTATTTAAGCTTCTAGCCACTTTACTATCAAACATCAATACCATATAAATTAATACTATTTACGATTCTAATTACCCAAAATAAGTGCGCTTTTTTACCACACCAAAATAAAAACTAAACAAACTCGTTCCGAGCACGCATACTTGCAATTTTAGTGCAATTTCGCCAGTTGCCACCACATTCACGACAACATTCCTTTATTCATTGTGGCTGTGGTATGATTCATTTTGTGGTAGCAGCTGGAAAGCCAAATAACCCCATAAAATATAAACGAGAGTACTTACTGCCTGAAGGAACCCCATCTCCGATTTGGCAAGTTATCCTGGTGGCTGAAAAAGCGGTTGGAATTAATATCTTTTTCCGAGGCTGCGGATATCCACAAGAAAATAAAAGGATAAGTACTAAAGGAAATTAAAAAAGAACCGCCCACTGGAGCTTTTTGCGGTCTTTTATTCGCGTCGATGTGATAAAAACGGACAATGGAAAATAAATCATCTGCGTCACGCCGCTTTGGATTGAAAACGTCAATCCGGAGATGTGCGACGAAAATAACTTTTGTTAAATTTGTCGATTTCATTACCACGTGTAAGTAATGATGTGTTTACGCGCGTTATTGCTTTTAACGGATGGTAATGGTATTGATCGAAAGTAAATCATTTCGGTGCTAATATCATTACTATTGTTAGTAAATGGAATAGCCCGGATTATGGAACAATTTATGTAAAATTATTCGAATTTGGTTGTTATATCGATTTCTTTCTAGCACTCTCACCTTGGTGAAGACCTCCTCAAGCTCGTCCGTAACCATGCGTGTCGATTTATGCTTGAAGATGGACTTCGCGTTCGAATCCCGTCACTGCAAAAAAGAGAAAAACAAAAATTTAACTTTCCACATTTTCACCTTTCATTTGCGGTTACGATCAGACGATATTATAACGGTTACTCTCAATTTCTACACGCACAAACAATAACTGTTTGATGGAGATCTGCATACACTGGTATGAAATGGTTTAGTAATAATTTGGGATTTTCACATGCTCATTATTGTGTAGCTATGTGGCAACGTAGAATTGGAGCACTAACCATAGACAACAATGCATCGAAGTGAAACCAGGTATTCATAATGGAAATGTATATTATATGCATACAAAAACCGATTATTAAATATTTCTACGTTACTTACCAAAACCAACTAAAACACATTAAGCAAAAAGGAAACAACACGAGCTATTTACATGATATTTCAAATGTAGTCATTCAACAGTGTTGTAGTTACACTGTTAAAAATAAATTATGCACTATTCGCCAAGAAAAATAAAAATAAAAATGCGGTAAGTAACGTCACGTTAAGCAGTTTTGGCATGACTTTCGCTTTGAATAAAACTCTCCATGTAAAAAATGAATTTTTCCAGATGTATAAGACTATTTTTTCTACAATTGTCATAAAATATTAAAAATAATTTTCATAAAATTGAGCAAAATCAGAAAAATAAAACGAATTAAAAAATAGCAGGTTGTGGTTTGAAATGGACAGCGATTCCGTATTTTCTTGTTCAGAAATGAAACAGTCAATAGCTGCACCATTTTTTATTTTTTTAAATTTACGAAATGGCAGGTTACTATGAAATCCAGTTTGTTTTAAGAAATCGTGTTATTAGCATATCTTTTGGAACTGTCGCAGCAAATGAAGTCATCGACCGTGTGGGCACAATATTGCATGGTTAGAAGCACATTGCACGCCAAGAACAATGTAGATATTTCCAAATATTTGAATTAATTTTATTTTTGAAGCACCATTTAAAAGGTTACCGACCCAAGCAATCGAAGATTGTTGCAGGAGCACGAATTAATGACTCTAAAAATGTCTCAGACGAAGCTTATTTACTACTAAAAGTAATCATAAATGTCACGAAATTGTTTAATTCATTGAATCGTGATATGTTGCTGCAGATTATTGCGAGGTTTGGCATTTGGAATTGCGGCACTATGCCAAGCTCAAGAACTAAATCAAATATACCAAAGGATGCAGAAAATTCAGAAATGTAATTGATGATGAACTTTGCTAAAATAAGAAATAACCTAAGACGGAAATTTGATAACTGGGGGACATCTAAAATTTTGTAGAATTTTTGTAGTTATCTTTTCTGTGGATACGTTTGGGAGAAAAATCGATCCTGTTAGATCCCAAGATAGTAACGACTTGTCTTAAGCTCGAAAAATTTATATTACAGGAATTTGAAAATTTCATTGATGAACTTGAAGAACCTTCCACTTTAAAAAAAGACCAAAACGACACGAGAAAATGAAATTTGTGGAGTTCAATAACTGTCATTTCATCACTATTGTTATTAAGCACAATAATTCATAAAACGTGTTAATTAACAGTGATACTGATATTAATTATTAACATGACAAAAAGTCTATTTGAGATTCCACCACCCGGTCGATATCGAACGGAAACTATGTTTCATTAGTAGATGACATAAAAATTAACAAATACGATTCTATTATAACAAATAATATCTGTGGGAGAAAATTCAGCAGTCTCGATGGTTACAATAAATGAAAAAAATTGCTCTAAAACAGCAATTCCTTTGTTTCTCAAGTACAGTTCAACAAATCCAGTTTCTTCAAAAAGTCACTTGGTTTAAGGTATTGTAAAAATACGAATGCGTTCATAACATTTCGCACATTTTAAATAGGATTTATTCAGTAAAATTTAATCAAGTCACAGATAAATTTTGATTAGTGTTTTAGCAAGCTTGCGACAATCTTAATACCTTACAACGTGCAAAATTTCATTAGGTTTTACAGTTTCTAACCTAAATTGTAAAAAGTTGACATTCAGTTTTAATTTTTTGCGAAAATATAGATTCTTAGGGTAAAAATCAAGACGGATTCATAAATTGCAAGTACAGGAGTACGTTATTTAATAAAGTTTAAATAGCATTTAGCATGTGAAATTTTGAGGGGACGTCATCAAATTATTGGTGGGGATGATACAAAAATTTTGCGGTAAATAAGACTGATAAAAATAAGATAAGATGATTTTGGCAAATGGCATACCCTTTAAGAGAATAAAGGGCGGATATGTCGAAGGTTACTTCCATGGAACTTCCCTCATCCCAGTGGGGTAAATAACACCCCCCCCTCAGCCCCTCAGCCGCGAGGGTGCAAATTCCAAGGGGATACAGTCTGCACAAATGCAGACAATATGAAATATATTTAAAGCAGTTAATCAGCGGGAAACAATGTATGTACTCTTAATTCCTAGTATAGTTTCCCCCGTTCTAGTTCGGTTTTATGATGTGTAGAAGTTAACTTCCTTAACAATGGGGTACTACTGCCGGTGATAGGACAGTCATAAATATACAGTATAATGTTAAATCCTTATTTACGACTGTCAAATCACCGGCAGTAGTAATCTATTGTTAAGGAAGTTAACTTCTACACATCATAAAACCGAATTAGAACTGGGGAAACTATACTTTTTTAACTTTAAGAGTTTATATTTATACTTCGAAAGATTCGACGTAACGCTGGCATTAATAAATGCATGCATATGTGTTAAAAGAAACTGAAATTTGATTGATTTTGTCTCCTCAATACAGAAGAGAGGGTCTATTAATTAAGTAAGCAAACTCGTTTTTTTTTCTCCAAAAAGTATAGATAATAGATACTGGATACTGTACACTGTACCCTCTTATACTCGTAGAAGAGGTTGATGTACAATTTCCATTCGTTGTGCGAAAATTAGCATGTTCCGGAGAAAATTTGAACACAGATTCATAATGAACAAGTGCACAAATACGTAATTTAAAAAATTTAAACCCTACTTATGAAAAAATTTGAGGGGATGTCTTCACGTTGTTGGTGGGAATGATCAGAAAAATTTTGGTTAGCGTTTAACCATCTACATGATATTTATAATATACATACAAAATTTGATGACAATCGGTCCAGTATTTCTGAGATTACTTGTCTAATAAAAATAGATACAGATACCAGACAGACAGACAGACAGACGGAAACTGGGAATCTCTTTGTTCGTACTCTAGGGGTCATGACACGTCAGGTAAACGTGAAAGTAGCAAATCGTCCGATGAACTCCATTACTATACTTCCTTAGCTTACGCTCGGGAAGTAAAAAAGCACTTTCAGGCAAAATAAAATTGAACATTGGTTAGAATGTTTTTTTATTTTTTACTTACCAGGTGTGCTAGGGAAGTATAATAATAGGACCCATTCGGCGAACGGGTACTAGCATGTTTCCATTTGTTTATCTTTTGTCGTCTCTATCTGTGTCGATTTCATTTTACGGATAACTTCCGAAACTATTGGACTGATTGTTTTAAGTATTTGTATTTTAGGAATATCGTACAGATGGTAAAAGGTTAAACAAAATAATATGCTTCTAATTTTGTGGTTTATGATCCGCTTCGATTTTTTTAACTTACTGGATTTATTATAAAAAAAAACCGCAAAAATTATTTTTTTTAATTTTTCGAAGTATTTGTTGGACTGTATTTCGTGGGCGAGGCAAGTTTTGTATGATACCTTAGACCAATTTTCACTTTTCGAGCTTAAGCTATGGAAGTATTGTAATCGAATCCATCGGGCAACTGGTTCCTTTCATATTTTTTCGATTTCCTTGAGTATGAAAAAATTAATATCTCGTTTCTGTCCGTCTGTCTGTCTGTCCGCCGTCCGTGATGATTTTCGTTAGACAGAACAGATGATTTCCGTAACAACTTGACCGATTTTTGTCAAACTTTATATCTGCATTATGAATATGTAGATGGTAAAACCCTAACCAAACTTTGTCTAATCATCCCCACCAATAATGTGATGACGTTACCTCAAAATTGTACTTAGTAAATTGATTTTAATCAAATTTTATACTTTTTCCAAAATCCTGGATATGTTTCATTGTACTTGAGCTGCGAGGGAAGTTCTGTAGAAACAACCTTCGACCATTTTTTTTCATTTTAAGAATAAAACAATAAAAACAGAATAAATTTAAAACTCAAGTTTTAACACAAAATAATTGAAAAACTAAAACAAAAAATTCGATTCTTTCCAACCCTAATTGGTACAAATATACAGGGTGCTTAAAAAATGGTGCATCAGCTTATGATACATTGTTCAAGAATGTTTACGAGGTAGAGAAAAAATTTACGTAAGCGATTTTCTTAACAATTTTTCGCGAATTTATAGACCTGAGAAGTTAATAATATACCGTTCAGTTGGTGTGTCATTCATTGTTTAATCTTAAAAAAATTGAAATGAACGGCATCCCTATTTAGTATCTACTCGGTTTACTCTAATATCAGATCATTTTTTAAATTTCTGCTCTAGTTGGCCATGAGTATTACGTCGGCCGTTTCGGTTTCACTGCTGACGTACGCATCATGGCCAACTAGGACAGAGATTTAACAAATCACACATATCTAAGAACACAGAACTTTGAAATGTGGAACGATTAGTTGATATAAAACATTTATAAAATGACCGTGTTGTTGATATTATGTTAGCAAAAATTACAAAATTATTAATTTTGGAGTGTTATGTTTTCCGAAACATCAACAGTTTGTTTCTTATTTGTGGCCACCTGTTTCGGCTTCGTTTAGTTTATTTTAAAAACAAAACAATATGTGCTATTTCCGGAAACATCGGCATTGATGTAAGGCTGCACATACTTATGAGTATGACAATTTAATTTTTTGTAATATTTTTATGATGAAGGTACTGTGTGTCGAAATACGTGTACAGTTTACTGCAAATAAAATACTTTGGAACTTACATTGTATAACTAAATTTATAATAATAAAAAAAATGTGATAAGACTTCTAACAAGTATAAATTCATCAATTCAAATATGGGTGTTATAAAATTTTGCAGATAAAAAAGTTGGACGAGGATAAGTTTCAGATGAAAGTTACTTGTTTTTTTGATATAAAAATTTCTATTTATATGAAGCTTTTTTCAAAAGTTTATTACTAATATTATTAAAAAGTTGTGACCAAATACATGTGGGAATGATGCCAAACGCTAAAAATACTCTATTTATTACAACACTACAATTTTTGCATTTCAAGATTTCTAGTTACAAAATTTGGGTAATTTATAAATTTGATATGTATGTATTTATGGGCGTGCATATGAATCAGCTTTTACATACATTTTTTTTTCTGACAGACAGCAACTTCAGATAAATCAATTTATCTAGGTTTAGAACGTACACTATCTACATATCTTTAGCTCGATACTTCAGTCCACGTTTAGTTGACAAGGTGTAAAACTTTAAGCTTTTAATTTTTAAATTGCTAAACAATAAATGGTCCTCTATAATTGCCCAACATGTTTTGAGGTTACCAACAAATAAGACATTTTGTATTATTGATAATTTTCAAACAAAGCAGTGATGTGGTTATAGAATAAGATTCCGAAATAGTTTGAAAAAATTTAAGCTGGGAGATATATTAATCGAAAAAATCTCAATATAAAGACTTTGGCGTGCTGAAAATTTCAAAATATTTTAAAAACCTTTTAGTGTCGTAGAAGTGCCATTATTAAAATTGGAATCTATTAAAAAACTAGCATAAAATCTGAATTTCGAAACATGCTTCGACGCATAACAGAAATATGTAATAAAAAAATGGAAATTTAAAATTTTAACATCAATAGACGTGGAATACATTGAAGGAATGACCTTTCTAAAAATGGTTCTGGAAAACTACTTGACAGGGTACGAGTGAGCACATTTGGTCTGTTATGCAACGTCGATCTACTTTTTTGCATTTTTTCTTTTATCTATTCCTGTGTAAACTTATTAAGATAATAATAGAGCACGTGAAAAAAGATCTCGAAAATATAACGTAAATAGGTACTAAAGTAAATTGAAAAACCCTACTGAACTGAATGAATATTGCCGTTAGTGCAAAAAGTGGCAATTTTAATTCCCGATTTCAATTAATCTAACAAAAAGTATCTCAAGTATGATCGATTTGTAAAGAACTGTAGTAAATATGATTATCGGTGCTTTGTGTCAGTTTACAAAACAGTAACACGATATAAATAAGCATGAAACTCGATACACACCACAAGATAAATTCACATTTCAATATTTTTCGTGTAAACTTGTTTCGAGCCGTGCATTTTAGAAATTTCACACCGAAGATTTACAAACAATGAAACGAAAAGTAACCAATTTTCTCAAACAATACTTCAAGATCCTATCGACAATTTACACTGCAGCTATCTCTCACGCTTTACTGTTAGTGAAAGTTAAACCTTATAAATTTCTCGACATGACTCATACAAACTTATGTAATATGAGCAGGTAATAATAAAACACGGGTTGCGCTTTACTTGGAAGTGGAAGAAAATTAATTAACCACGGCAATAATTAAGGACAAGGCGAGAAAAACCGGCAACCATACACACCGGAGCGAATAAATATACTCTTCTAATATTTCGCGCAAAGCTCTGTATCGGACACAAATATTGATCTTACGTTAATTATCGCTTTTCGTGCCAATACACCCGAGTTTGAAAAACGCGTCCGCGACGGCTCTTTAATCCATGCCAACACGTGCAACGTCTTCCTGCTGATGTAAATTTCAAGTTGCTGTCAACTCACCCTAAATTCCGGTCGCTTGAAATCCCTGAGTCGGCGTCGATGTCAACACCTTCCCCATTCCATTCGTAGTTTTCGCCGTCTGACAAAGAGGAACACTGACTTTTGCTTTGCTCAGCAGGACGTGGACTGTCTGGTGGATTCAACAGAAAAGTGGGTTCCGGGCCTGCGCTTCCATTTCCCATCGTAGAGTCTGTGGCTGCCGTGGTGGGCGACATCATGCTCTCTAAAAGCAGGACATCGCAATAGTAAATTAGTCGTATTGATTACTGTTATTAGAGGTAAATCTAAGTACGCATAAACAGGGCCGGACTCAGGAATAAGGCGCTTTTAAAAAGTGAACGATTTTTTTCAAGTTTTATTTTTGGATTGCAGTCTACATTCCATTCGTGATCTTTGTGGTAAGGGAGTGACTGAAGTCCACGAAACGAGAGTTAAGCGGTCTATTGGTTGACCACTTAACATTAGTTTTCTTGATTATGATTGAACGTTTATAAGACAAACATCCTGAAGCAGATTGTTTCATCTAACGAGGTTTAACGTAAAAATTGACAGTTTGATTTTACGATAAAAATGTATGAGGACATAGAAATGCTATAATTTTTGCTTCCCTACCATACTATTATAGATTTAAATTTGACCAATAATTTCACTGAAGTTCCTAGAACACGAAAAAGTAGGTGACCCGTTCTCGCCTTTCTGTTGTCTGTTGACGATTTGATTTGACAAATAATCTCTGACTGATTTGAAATATTCAGTACATGTTCAATTTTTCATGCACTCCAATTTTGTAGAATACAGACTATCTCAAAAAAATATTCCACTCTACAGTGTACCTATTCAAAGTGGTATATTTGCACCTATTAAAAATTTGACGACATCAAAAAATTTCATTATAAAATCTCCATTCAAGGAAGAAGAATGGTAATACAACAATACAGGGTGATTAAAAAATTGCCAACAGCCTTTTCCTCATTGTGTCTCGTACTTGTGTTGGATAAGCTTTCTTTTAATACAGGCTTAAATAGCTAATTTTAGTAGTTTTTCGCGTAATTTTTGTAATATATATTTAATTCCCATTATTAAGCTTAGTGGGGCCATATAATATTGTAGTTTTTGGGATACAATACCATAATGTATTTCTAGTTAATTAATTTTGCACTTATAGTTGAGCTTTTATATAAATGCCTTTTTAATGCAAATATTTTATGGTTTTTAATATATAAATCATGGCCCAAAAAGAAATACTTTACTTTAAATTTAACGCATTTTTTTACGTCCCGAGCGTAAGCTATGGAAGTATTATAATAGGGTCCATTGGACGAATGGTTGCTTTTATGAAAAAGTAGGTTTCGCGTTTCCGTCTATCTGTCGGCTGCATCGATTTTATTGGACAGATTTCCGAAACTATCGGACCTATTGTTGTCAAATTTTATATGTATGTTATAAATATCGTACGCTAGCCAAAATTTGTATAATCATCCCCACCAACAATTTGATGATGTAGTTTAGGTTACATAAATTTGATGAAATATTATAAACCTGTACTCGTGATTTATTTTTATCACAATTAGTTTACAAACAAGTTTTTGTGTATTATTTTCCACGTGGTTCATGTAGCCGATATTTTGCTTATGCGCGAAATGCTTCGTAGTCGAGTGGGATTAATGATTATTTCTGGTCTGCTTCGTGAGGATTCGAATCCCATCCTTAGCGAGTTTTTTTTTTTCATTGTTACTTCTATTACCTACATTTTTTACTTCTAGGGATTCTCATAAAATAAATGAAATTTGCAAAATCAAATTTTATAATTTTTCGAAACTACATTTATTCGATTGTTTTTAAGGGATGTCTGTCTATTGTCTAAATAACCTTAGAAGAATGTTTAATCAAAGTTTTCACATAATCTATACCCAGTTTATTAATCTAATTCTTTATTTTAAGAGAAAATAAGAAATATTGACAAAAAACATTTGAAAGGCATAAATTCGTTATAAATATAATGCTTAGTAAGAAATAAATAAAAATAGTTTCAAAACATGTTACATTTAAAAAATTAGAAAATAAAAATTTGTTTATTTAATTGCTAATACAATTTTTTTGTCTTTTGCAATTGCCTTAAGTGCTTGACCCAAAAACTCATTCTTTGCTATTATGGTCCGACCAATGTATGTTTGTGTATACGAAAAAGTAGGTCCGCGTTTCCGTCTGTCTGTCTGTGTCGATTTTTATTAGGATTCGAAACCACTGGACCGATTGTTATCAAATTTTATACGTATGTTAGGAATATCGTCTAGATCACAAAATGCTGACCAAAAATTGTGTAAACATCTCCACCAAAAATGGAGTGATGTCATATCCAAAATTTACAATAGTAAATGTTATTTAAACTTTCTGGAATAAGACACTCCTGCACTTGTGGATTATGAATCTGTTCAGTTTTTACCCTACATTCAGATTATTGATCAAATCAAGAACGGGTCCCCATTTTTCCAAAAATTTGACTATAGAATATTATTAGTACTACACTGCACCTATTAAAATTTCGCAAAATTTAATTTTATCGCTTTTAGAAGAATCTGTATTCGTTCACCTGTCTATTTGATTTTAGATCATCATCCTTTTGTTGTAAAGGGTCAAAGTATTTAAGTATGTATTTTTAAAGTTGTGTGGGTCTATTTTAAAATATTCTTTTCAATATAAGTTTAAATCGTTTGTATTCGCTATAAAAATAGCGCATTGCGGAAATAATGTAAGTTAAAACCCACGTTTAAGTGAATAAAGAGTTGGACTCTGGACAGTGTGGACAACACATTGGAATTTTAGTTTAAATTTATGGAAAGAGTTTTTATTTAAGAAAATTACGAACATCTAAATATATACTCAGAATAAGTTTACATATTTGTATAGAATTATATATTTTCATTTTCGTGAAAATAATTGATACAAATCCCACTTTGTTGAAAAATTATAAAACCTGATTTTGCGAAATTTTATTTTTGATAACCTCTATACATAAAAAAGCAGTTTACGCTTGGGAACTCAAAATATAATTATTGTTTGTGTTTTCTTAGAAATGCTTGTAGAGCTAGTTTTTCTGAATCCATTAATGTATCGTACTTCAATTACCCATACCCCGCCATTGCCTTTGATTCAAACGTATTATGTTATGACAACACAATTCAACATTTTTACGGAACGGTTACAGAATTTAGAATTTATCACATATTAGGGCTCTTATACTGGTGTAAAAATGTCATGGTACAATATGGATTTTTTTTTTGAAAATCTGGATGCCTAATCAAGGCAAATTCATAAATCACAAGTGTAAGAGTATGTTATTTTATAAAATTTAATTAGCGTAACTTTTCATACACTTGGGGTAATGGAACATCGAGAAAACATGAAAGTAGCCATTTGTCGGATGCACGCTATTACAATACTTTCTTAGCTTACACTAGGGAACTATAAATTAATCACCTCACTTAAAAATTTCAATTGGCAGTGGAAAAAATAAATATATGTAATAAAATTGCTTTTGTTCAATTCGTGAAAGGTTGGAAAAATATTATTACATAATTGGAGATATAATGTGGTTTGTGATTTAAAAACATGGTTTTCCCAAGCCAGTGTTTATAATAATAGATTTAAAGACATGCGTTTCAACTGGAAAAAACGTAATTAAATCCGTGTACAAATTTATTACATCTGTGCTAAATCTGAAAAAATTTTAAGCCACGAAAAGTAAACAGTAGTAAACAAAATTCTAGACATCCAGTTTTAGGTAAATAGCCATACCATTTTGTCATTTTTTTCTATTTGCTACTTTGAACGATAATTTAAATATTAAAAAATACTGCGATAATCCCATTAAAAAAATTAGATAGAATAAAACAAATACGTCCCTGTTCATCATTTGCCGACCGTCAAGTTTCTAACAAGCGTCAGCTATTTACAGTGCAGGCTTCGGCTCTTAACTTTTCGACAGCAAATTTTTATTGGTTAACCAAAATAATGTTTTCACTCTATACGTTTCCAAATTTATATAATTTCCTTTTTTTTATTTATTGCTAACGTTAGCAGTAGTCACTAGCGAATTGTAAAATAAGTGAACTTCTGAAATCAACTGTTATTTAGAAAAAATATGTAGATAATGATGACACAATGTATGCACTATCTGTGAAAAATCTTATACTGTAGTAATAATAATAATAAATGAGAACCAAATGCAAGCAAGTGCTAAACCTGAACTTAAAAAACTTTACGGACTTATGTGCTCTTCCAAGAACTTTATATTCAGTTAATACTTCTTTGCAAAGAATTATTACAGCTATATTTTCTTTATCTTATTATTCTATTTTTGTCTAAATAATAAAACCTGTAATTTTGTCCTCAGCGATTTAGATAGTTTTTGTCAAGACGTATATAACACCATGACTTACACCTTAGTATTTTATTTAAGTAGTTCCACACAATTCGCACACTTTTGTTACTAAAAGCAAACATGTGTGTATAATTTAATCTGAGTTTCTTGATCACTTAATAAATTTAACCAAAATAAATCCGTTCATCTCGTATTTTCAGCTTGGCGGCCTACGCACGCATGCCGACATAGCACTTTTTCATTGCACCCAAATCCGGCCCTGCATCAGGTACGTGACATTACATGCTCGACATTGTAAAAGTATGTAATCATGAATGAGCGGTAAACCTCATTACCTCTATGTATAGATGGAAGTGAATAAAATTTACTTTAACTGTTGTCAGCTAATAAGAAAAGTCAAATTAGTCTGAACAACCGTAATGTCATTTAGCACAAAAATGTTGAGCGCCTGAAAATTCTTTATTGTTAATTCTATTGCGCTTGAGGTTATCTAAGGCCGCCAGGAAATGAAGTTCATTATGCAAATATGTACTTTTAAGACTTAACACTTTCCATCAGATAACGTCTAAATAGCTGAAAACAGTTTTTATAAAATACAGTATGAATTTCCAGGTAGTTGGTGGCTATTACACGTAAACTATGCTTTCAGCAGAAAATTCTTGACTTAAATCGATTTAGTTCGGTGAAAGTTTGTTCACATGTATTTGAGTTAATCGCGGAATTTCTATCTGACAAAATATACAATTTGAAAGAAATTTACCACAGTTGAAATGTAAACCAACATGAGTTTAAAGAACTAACTATGGATAGTAATATACTTATAAAAAAAACTTCCAAGGGGT